ACTCCTGGTCCAGGATTCTTTTTACCACTGATACTTCCCAATTCTCAAGGCGATTTCTCCTGTTTTCTATATTCTGGATCTTCATATCAATTTTGTAAGTCTAAAAACAGGAACCTCTCTATCTGAAAGAGATGGGCTTCAAGCTACACTAATCTGACTTCTACTACAACTAATTGGGCCATGTTAAGAATTTTCCACCCCAATCCTGAAGCTATAAGCACTATATAAAAAATTTAATATTTGGATTCAAATGAAAAATATTTGGATGGTACTTAAGTCTATAGAAGATGAGCAGGCATGACAGTTAGGCTATCCAGTTCCAAAGAAAGGCTACCATCACTGTCACTTGTTTTTTCCCCACCATTACCATTATCTATTGAGGGTTTGTTGGGTACCTGATATTCCCTTGTACTTGTAACATAAAATTTTGGAGCTGTTTTGTCTACCTAATGGACAAACAGTTCAGGGTCTTTCCCTAGAAAAGATCTGGCGTTGGATCTGTCCACCTTGTTCAATGACCCTTTAGTTAGATGTGTAAACCTGGTAACCAGGGGCCAGCAGGTCCCCTTCCCTAATTTCTGGGCAATAACCAAGCTCATCAAAGCAGGCAGAACTGAAGGTTCCAGGTCTAATAAATGGTCAAAATAAGGACTCAAACTTGGTTAATTTCCATCCAAACTCTGGGGTAAAAGACAGGAAGGTATTTATTGCTTTGGGTCTGTTGCCCTATTTCTTTGTCTGCAGGCTGACCTTCCCTTTGTAAGTGCATCAGTATTTGCAACATTCAGTTCAAGCAAGGTCTTTCATCTTTGTCTCCTGGCCTTGATCTCTCCTGATCATTATGGTCTGGATCTCTGCTAATCACTAATGATCCCAAGGCTCTCTGCACAATCCTAAAGATATGAGACCTGAATTCTTAGAAAAATTCCTACTCAGCTAATTACATTCTTTCTGCTTTTCTTGGTTCTCCTTGTAGTCTTAGCTGGAGTTGAATTTGAATTCTTTCTAAACACTGTAAATTGTGTGCTGGTGGTTTCTGGAAAGCTTTTGTAAACTCTTCCTTCAAATGAATCCAACTAATTATGATTCAAAAGCCCCAGGACCTACCTTTCTCCCTCTCCTGCTCTCTCTTTTCCTTGAGTGTCTTTCTATCTCCTCTCCCATATTCTAGTCTTGAATATAGTAAAAGTTTAGGTTGACTGGGTGAGGAGTTTCATGATTTGTATTTTGAATAGTAGGTAGCATATTGTTAATTTACAGAAGTACACACTGGTTCTACCACATATCTGCTTTAGGGTCGATATTTACAACCAAATACTAAAAATGGCAGGTGTTTCAAGCTACAGGTTACACTCATCTACAGTCTAAGGATTACTGAATTTTTTGGTAGTAGCCAAATGCTTTGCTCACTAAGTAAAATACAGGTTAAGCCTGATTTCTTAATTGAGTATGATTCTCTTATATTTCAAAGAATATGGAGCACTAATTCTCTGGAACTACATGCAGGGGTGTCCAAACTCTCTGCATGTCTGGACTTCACTGGGAGAAGAATAGCTGTCTTGGGCCACACATTAAATACATTGCAACATGTAATCACAAAAAAAATCTCATAATGGTTTAAGTAAATTTATGATTTTGTGTTGGATCACATTCATAGCCATCCTTAGCTGCATGTAGCATGCAGCCTGAAGACTGCAGGCTGGACACACCTGAATCCTGATTTAAGCCCACGACAGCTTGAATTTTTCCTACCCAATTCCATATTTACAACTTAGCTTGTAATCACAGTAGAAAGTCAAACTCTCATAAAATCAAGATTAATAAAATTACTGACAACATAACTTTCTGAAGTAAACTATCTCTATAGTGCATACTAATGTACTATACAAAGATATGACTATATAAATTAATAATTCATTGATGATCAAAGAATGTATAACTTCAAATGAGTACTTTTCTTAAAGCTGTCCATTGGTAGCTTTATTCCAGTGGTACTGCCATTAATCAAACTGTTTGTATAATGACTTTAGTTTAAAAGCTACTCAAGAAGGTCATCTAATTGTCTTTCTGATTGTTTTGACCCCAAATTATATTACCCTGCATTGATCACCCACCTTATGCCTCAGGGCCCTGAAGTTCTTTAAAGGAAGACGACTTACCATCTACAAGGCTTTTTAACAAGTTGTGCTGTGTGTTCTGAAAACTACCCAAAGAAGAACTCAAAAATAGTTTTGAGCAATAGCAGCAATAGAAGCATCATGCAGTAAGTGACAGCCTTACAAGATGATGCATTGGATAAGGACACACTGAAATGTATGTGTAAGTTCTGGTATAGTTGTTAAAATATAGTTATTAAAATGGGTAAGTTCTGTTATAGTTGACTATTAGTTATAGTTATATCTTGGTTATATAGTTTCAGCCCTATAGCACAATATGATGGTTAAGAATAAAATTATTAACATCTTGGCTTCTGTTATTATACTTCACAAAATTTTATATTCTTTAGGTACATCTTATAGACTTCAAACAAAAAAAAGTCTTAATTCAAGGATCTTGGCATTGTTGTGAATGATTTCAAGCATTTTCCCAGAAGAAATTAAAACTAAAAATAATTGAGATAAACATGAAATATGTTCTTCTGTTTTCATTAAAACAATGAACTTTAACCAGGTGTACCTGTAACTAACTACTTGAGATGTTTGTTTGCTTGATTTAATTGTAGGCAATTCTTACTTCAGGATGAGGGTTGAAAAGAATACGTAGTTTTGATTTTAACTAAAAATATAGTGTTTTCACTCACATAAAACCAGAGTCCAGCACACCATGTAAAGAGTAAAACCTTTTAAGGAAAATTTTACATTCTAACATAATTAAAAGAATGTCATAAATTGCTTCAATCATGCAAGTCCTCTAAAGCTTTGCTTTAAAAGTTTTAAGGGGGTGGGGTGGGGAACACGGTACTGTAAGTAGTGCACAGGGTGGAGGAAACTTCCTGGCTTCCAATTAATTTTCTTCCCTTGACTCACTATTGAGGAGCAGCCAATACAACTTTCCATTTGTATAAATGAAAGGCCACAGTTTTTAACTCTTTCATAGTAATATTTCTTGAGTTCCTTGTTTTAGTTACATTCTAACAATTATTTATCTAATGCCTATAGGGATCATGTTCAATGTCAAAGTGGAGTACCCAAATAGGTCATGAATAAGTACTTATTGAATTAATGAATGAAGGAAAAGAAAACCATATGTTGGCTAACACATATGGAGTCCATTGTAAAATTAACTCCCAAGGGATTTGGTCTATGTAAATATAACTTCTAACTATTATACAATATTAAGTCTAAAGCATGTGCTAAGATTTGGATTACTTTAGATTTCAGAATTCATTCATTAGGGCCCAACCCATACTTCTGAATCTAATCACTTCTGAACATAATCAAGTGACTCCTGATACAATTAGTCCTTAATACCCTTAATAATTATTAAGACTGGAGTTTTACAGAAAATTTAACTGACTTTCATCCCTGAGATAAACTGATCTTTACATACATCCAGCACTTGTGCTAAAAGTGTATGGTCTCTCATTTAAAGTAGCAAACATACCTCTATCCCTCTATCTCGCACTTTTCCAGTTGTTTCAGTTTTAGAAGATGTTTGGTTTCATAAATAGAACTCTCTCACTGACTACTATGGACTGTTTGATAGGTCACATAACATTTCTGTTCCTCAGTTTGTACGACAGAACATGAATGAGACAAAACCCACCTCCTTCCTATGGGGACTTTTTTGAATACCGATAAATACCTATGAAATGATAAATGCTACTACCACTTTCAGCATTTTGAAAGATGTCAACCTAGCACAAAATATTTTTGGTGTGTGAATTAAAAATGCCTCTTACGGAAGGTCTTAGATGTTTCCTTCTAAGATAGCATGTCAAGAACTGGCTTATATATCATCCGTCCTCCAGAACGCACTGACATCCCGCTTCACAATCATTCGGTATGATGACTGCTGTCAAAATCGCCTGCGTGGAAAATCCATGCCCTAGATGGACACGATGTATCAGCGTGACAGAGGGCTCAGACACTCACACCGCGTAAGCCTGACTTTGAGCACAGGGGATAGGAGGGCATGCACGTGTGAGCGGAACCTTCTCAGGCTCTAACGTAGGGAGAGAATGAAAGATGCCGGAGGTCCCACGGGGCGCGGGGGCAGGAGGAGGCCAGACAGGCAACCGCCGAGACAAAAGCAGGAAAAAAGTGTGTATGTGTATACACACGCACACATATTCATGTTCCGACTCGAATCCCATCTAGGAATAGACCTTTGGGTCTCTTTTTCCCGTGAACACCACAGAACGGCACCCATTTTGCTGGAAAATGAGACGGCGGCGAGGGGCTGGAGGGGCGACCGCCCGAGACCGGCCCGGGGAACAAACCGGACTGAGGGGCGGGGCGGGCTGGTTCCCCGGGCTCCGCCTGCGAAGCGCTCCCGGCCCCGGAGCGTCGTTCCGGTCGGCGCAGTCAGGCAGCCGCACTCCCCGTGTTCCACTCGCGTGACCCGCCGCCCCGGAGACCCGGCGCCTGGGCGACTCCCGCCGCGGCGCCGCCCCGCCCGCCCTCTCCGCGCCCTCTCCCGGGGTTGGCGGTGGGCGAAGCTCGGCCCCAGGCCGTCTCCACGAGCCTCCGCCCCCTTACGGCGTGAGAACAGGAGGTCCTCGAACCGTGGGCCCCGACCGCACACAAACCCCTAACGGGCCCGCGGCGCCCCACGCCTCACTTTCCTCGCTCCCGCTGCTTCCAGGGCAGCGCGCCCGGCTCCCCGTCCGCTCCCCGGGGAAGCCCCGCTGAGCGGCGGTCTCAAGGGGGGGAGGCGAGATCCCGCGCACGCGAGCACCTCCGGCCCTGAGCAGGGCTCCGCGCCACTGGGAGACTCTCACCTCAAATGAACGGGCGCTGCCACCTGCGAGGGGAGGAGAGAAGGTGGGGGATACTCACACTGGGCCCGGCCGCGCGGGGACCTCGCTGGGAAGGACGCGCGGTCTCGCACGGGGAAGCGGAGCCCCAGCGGGTAGCGCCCAAGCCGCCGCCTCGGAAGGGAGGCCTCTACCGTCCGGCCGAGGACCTGCAGCCCCAGCGCCAGTTGCCGGTGGCCCCGCCCCAGGCCCCGCCCCTCGGCCCTCGGCCCGCCCCCTCGGCCCCGCCCTCCGGCCTCCTTTTCTCCTGCCTGCTCCCTCCCCTCCTCTCTGCCCGCGGGGTGCAATAGCCTCTCTTCGAGACAAACTCCGAGCGACGAGGAGATCCTTCCACCAGAATGAGCTGTGATATACTTTTGACGGCTATAATTTATTCCAAATCATCCTTGGACTGAAACGATCAATTAGCAGCCCGAAACGCACTGTGAAGTAAATTGTCACACTCTCTATTACAGGATGGTTATCATATATTTATAAGGTGTGTTTTCTGCAATCAGAACCAACAAGGTGTTGAGTGATCAGTCATAAATGCGCTTCCTCAAAAAGTGCGAGAGAACAGCTACAGCATTGTGTGCCAGGGGAAAAAAAATCCCTATGACAGTTATTGCTTCTCCCACCCTCTGGACAAGGGAGATATTTCCAGCTCTACAACTGTCTTGGACTCTCATATGACCCCACAAGCAGCGTACCTATGAACAGGGAGACAGACTAGCAGCCCCAGGAGGAGAGATTTACCTATTTTGTAAATACCAATCAAGCATGAGGATCACTCATTTTGTCTATTTTCATTCCTATCCTGGAAAATAATATCTTACTCTTTGATTCTAAGCTTCTAGTTAAATATTTGCATTCTATACTCAATCTGGAATTTCTTTTCTTCTTGGGTCTCAGGGTGTTGCCCTTCTCTCTCTGCTATTTAGGTGTTATGTACTGATCTGTAGAAATTATGCCAGGGTCATAAAAAGTTTACCCACAGAGAGAACTGTGCATTCTGAGTTGGAATCTCTGCCAGAATGCTTCTGTCTTTCATAAATGAGATGGCACCAAGTTTTGAGAAAGTCCTTAGAAATTCTCTCTCAGTCTGGGCTGTCTTGACTGCCCAAGCTATGGAGACATTGTTATATTCCTTATAGTCATCCTCAATGGTCATGAATATATATCCAGAACTTCTGAGTTTCCCCTAAAAAACTATCATTACATCGTCATCCACTAGCCACCTATAAATCATTTTTAGATAGGTCATCATATTCCTTTTGCCTGAAAAGTATGGCTCTAGAGCCCAGCCTACTGATTATTGATTGTGAGAAAAGTTTAACAGCCAGAAGTTTGCCTCTATGGACAACAAAGTGATATTTATGGAAAGTGAATCACAAGATGTGTGTGCGTGGGAGGGGAGGTAAGATGCAGAGTTTACACTACATATATTTTAGATTCACTGCCCCCATGATTTCTGCACAGCAGGGAAAAAATGGAGAGAAAGGAAATCTGGTGGGGTATTTGAATTGAAGGAGTAGCAATTGCCATTGGGCCTCCCACAGCATAAATGGGGTGCCATGGATGCTTGCCTCATTTGAGTAGACTGGAATAGCAAAGAACCAGGCACAGCACCTTCACACTGTACCTTCTCACATTATTGATTTAATTTGCATTTAGTAGCAAATATTTATTGAGCACTTTGTGCCAGGCACTGTGCTTTAAAATATTTGTATCACTATATTTAACTCTATCAATAATCTTTTGGGGAAAGTTATTCATTTTGTCAGTAAGAAAACTGAGCTTTGGCAAGATTAAGTAACTTAACAAAGATCACACACCTGTTAAGTGATGATTTCAAACCCAGGTCAATCTCAAATGCTCATGCTCTTCACCCCAATAACATAATACTACAAAAGTTAAGATTTAAAAAAATTCTCACCCAAGGACATGTTTATTGATTTTATTTTTTATTTTTATTTTATCCTTACCTGAGAACACTTTTACATTGATTTTTAGTGAGAGAGAGAAAGGGAGAGTGAGAAAGAGAGAAACATTGATTGGTTGCCTTCTTGTAAGCACATGGACTGGGATCCAGTCCACAACCTGGGTATGTGTCCTAACCAGGAATTGAACCCACAACATTTTGGTCTATGGGATGATGCTCCAACCAACTGAGCCACACCAGCCAAGGCTGTTTATTGACTTTAGAGAGAGGCAAAGGGGGGAAGCTGAGAGAGGGGGAGACAGAGAGAGGGTGGCAGGGAGAGAAAAACATGAATGTGAGAAACATTGATCAGTTGCCTCCCATACATATCCACAGCCTAGGTATGTGCCCTAACTGGGAATCAATCCCACAAGTTTTTCTGGTGGACATCATGACATTCCAACCAATTGAGTAACCTGGCCAGGGCGAAAATTTAAGATTTGTATTTAAGATTTTCCACCGAAAAGGTTTTAGTAGGACTGATTGTACAAGAAATGAAAGAACAGCTGTTTGCAAAGGAAAGACACAGTAGATGCTTATACCCACACCAGGGTAGATCACCCCTTTTCTGTTCTAGCCTCCCTACATCTTTTGATTTCTTTTTCAGAGTTATCACCTGCCATCTGGTGTCTAGCCAAAGGGGCTTTACCCAAGGTCAGTGGTGACTGCTAAGCGTGGGGAAGGAGGTGGGGTAGAGGCAGTAGACCTCAAAGAAAGCAGAGCACCCTGGGGAGGAGCCTTAAGTCAGAGCCAGAGTTGGCCAGAGGCCCTTGTCCCAGACCCCCAGCTCTAAGAATGAAATGTTGCTTCCTAATGGACTTTAAATTATCAACATTGCTAAACTCTCCCTTAATAGACTTGTAAAGATCCGCTTGCTACCTTTTCCCCCATTCATGTAGAATTTGTAATCAAGAGCCCAATTTTGTCATTTGGAAATACTAATTATCTAATCATGCCATGCTGCATAACGTACTTGTCTGCCCAATTAGCTAGGACAATTATTAAAATTCAGAGGCCTAATTATGTCTCAATTTAATGCTGGCAAACTTGCATACAGAGCAGTAATTAAAATCCTCTCTTTCCCTTTGCCTTTAGGGCAGGGGATGATTAGGGCTTGTCAGGGGGTGTACTGAGCTGAACCAGTGAAGCGTATTGTGCAACATGACCCTGCATTGTTAAGTGTGTCAACATATTAACCTGAATTCCCTTCAGCCCCCACATAATCACATTTGGTGAAGCAATAAAGGAGCTAAAACATGAAGCATTTTATTTTAAAAACATAAATTCTTTTTAATTAATGCTATGAGAGTTCTGATGAATTTCATGCTTCTAAGTGCTGGAAGACATAAGACTGGTTCATCTAATTACTAGCAAATTTGCTCTTGTTAAAACTACTTTTATTTTATTCATTAAAAAATGATTATTTCGGTGGTGTAATAAGGAAAAAAGAAGAAGAAGAAAACCCCTAGCTAGTTGGCTTCCAGTAAGAGTTGATTACCAGTTTTGTTTGATGATGGAACACGAGTGAATGTTGGCTTCCAAAAGAATCAAACCCAAGACTGGAGGCATTTTAAAAAAGGACTAGAATTTAATACTTGAAAGATGTTAATAAAAGTGAAACATTAAAAATCATAATATTGAAACAAATTAAAAATATTTGTCTTTTGAGCTCTGAAGTTTGACGTCTGAAATGAGACCAGAATGAGGAGACCAGAGTGCCGCACAAACACACATGGTGCTTTGGAAGTCAGTCCCTTGGCGTGCAGGAACCCGGACACGTGTGTCTTCTTTGCTGGCATCTCAGTCTTCTTCTCTACAGACAAGGAGAGCCACAAAACCCATTAAGACTTCAGAGTTGTCTTCTACATTCTGGCTTTCATTGTCATGCAATACATGATAGATTTTCACATAATCACATAAAGAAGAGATCAAGACGCACACATACATACACACAGAGAGTCATTCATTTGAATAGAGCTCTCCATTGATCTCATTTTGAATCTCATAACAACCTGCAACATAATAAGCAAGGCAAGCATGTCTCCATTTTATTATTGGGGGGGAGTTAAGAGACTTGTCCAAGCTCACCACTTGATGCCTCCTAATTTTGAGTAGGGAAAGACTAGAACTCAGTTCTTCATGTTGTCTAGCATAAGTGTGGATGAGGGACCAATGCAGGACGGCTTGGTTTAGTAAAATATCGAAAGGTGAGATAACAGTACAGATAATGTTGTAAATAATGAGGCAACAAGGGAACAGCCTGTACACCCACACCAAAGGATCTTCTGTCCTTCCATCAACACTTATTTGCAACATGAACAGTCACATTTGTTCATATTTGTTGCCTTTGGCCTACTTACCTTCTTTTAAGTATTTATATTCTCTAAGATATGTATAGTTACATTCTACATGTTGGTAGGAGTAAAAGTGGACTTCCTTCCTCCTACTCCAGGTACAGTGTGGGATACAAGAGGGTTTCAGGGACAATCGCTGACAAAGCGTTGACTGCAGACAGTCTCTAGAGGAGATGGTCGGCCGGAGTCAGGACAGGTGCTTCGGTGCTTGTGCTATGAAAGTGGGAGTTGCCCCCACCGCAGGTTTCCCTCAGATTACGCCTTGTGTCTTGAAAATGGCCTTGCTCTGAGTCCCTTTGGATGGCAAAGTGAAGTGCAAATCTGTGTTCTGACTTGTTCCCGTGGCTGTCAGCATGTTTTCCTCTTGTCAGCAGCAATTGACTGGTCAGGCTCACCCCTGTACAGCAATTGTAACAGCTCATTGACAGACTAGTGACCCAGCTGGACCTGATAATGGAAAACTATTGATTTTTGTGGGCTCCACGAATCTAAAATGAACGACCAATGTAATGTCATCAATTGTCTTGGACTCTGATAACACAAGAGAGAAAAGTTTCAGGATTGCTTGTATTTCCTGACTATGGTGTGTCAAAATCTCTGTGTGTGTAAGAAGACCATTTCTTTGGTGTTTTCCTTAAATGACCCGTATTAGTTCATCTGGGCTTTAATACCAAGCCTTGCATATTAATTAAAGTGAGAGTTAGCACTGCCTATTAGCCAAACTGGGGCCTAAATTACCATTAGAAAGATACTTGAAGAGTGGAACTTTGGAAAGAAAATGTTTGGAATGTTTAATTATTACAAACAG